ACGCTCACATCCTTTTAATTATGTTTGAATTACGAACATTGCTCAACATCATGAAAATTAAACCTTATTTTCAATAAACAATCCTGAAAAATATTTGGGGGTGCTTAACTTTTTTCCAGGTGTATAGATACATATCGACATTTATTTAATTTCTAAATCTAACTTATCATTTAACTCGGTTTCATTATAATACGCTACATAATAATTTGGAGACTCAGCCGGGATAAATTGTAATACGTGACAAACGAGATAATTAGTCAGAGTAACAACCTTTGTTTACTTTACCTACAATATTAATGATACCAAAGATTAGACCATTCTGAGACAACATGGTCAGGTAACTCCTGTTTTCGTTTCCTTCTGGACCAACAGCACAGTTCAATAGTTCATACACTTTTTCTGTAGAACCTACGAAAGCAAGCAAAAATATTTTATACATATTATGTCTCTGTGTTATCGTATGCCTGATATATAAAAGTTGTCAATAGAGCACATTGAATTTGTTATTTGACTATTACATAATACCAATGGAGCTCATTCATCATTTTAAAAACTATCAGTCTAAGAGTTCCACTAATAAAAAGCTGAATTAATTGCAGAAAATGGCTTTTGTTCAATATTGTTGCTTGATCCAGGAAAATTATTTATTTAACAAAAGTAAAGGCTTTTCAGGAGTTAATGACATGTGAGAGGCTTAACTTTTCTACTGATTTATAACAGAAAATATACATTCTACATTTACCGAGAATCACGTCGAAATTTTATTACAAATGCTACTAAGTTGCTACTCTCTGGTTCTGTTTTTATATTCATTTACAAATGTTCATTATATATATATAATAGTGCGTATGTTATTGTAAAACGAAAGTTTTACACTGCTAAATTAGGGACGGCTAGTGCAGTTAACCCTCGTGTAGCTTTGCGCGAAATTCAAAACAACCCAACCCTTTTTATCTAACTCCTTATTAGACGCCCCTCAGTGGCATAGCGATATGCGCTAAAAACCGGGTTTCAATACCCGTGGTGGGCAGAGCCCATTGTGTAGCTTTGTGCTTAATTACAAACAAACCTTATTAGACGATGTTTTTATCTTTCTTCCTCTTTTCGCTTAATTGTTTAGTATATTTTTCAGCATATTGAAGCAAGTAAGCTCAGAATAATTTTTTTTTCATACACGTGAGTTATAACAGACATAAGGGCGGACTTACAAGTTTATTTAAATAATTTATTCTTTTTCATTTACTTTCTCTGCGAGGAAATAAAGCCATTGACTTAACAAAGGAGTTGGTCGAATATTTCTTTCATAAATAGGTTTCTTATTCACTCATAAGCTGTTTGTTTAAGTTAGTTATTATTGTTATGTAAAAAATGTTTAGCACTTACCAAGAAGTCCTCCAACAGAGTTGTCTAAATTGTAAACAGCAAAAGCAAAGATTAACATTATGATAAAGATCAGAGCGGTATTAAAATAAGAGACATAGAACGTAGCGCCTAATCCACCAATCCACGTGTAGGTTCCGATGACAGTTACTACAACTAGCATTCCATACTCCACAGAAAACCCGCGAACTAGTGTGGTCATAACAGCTATTCCACCTGAAAGTTTAAAATATAAACTTTATTTTCTCTAAAGTAGCTAAATACATTCAATAGATTGTTCATTTCGAATCACCAAGTCGTAAGTCAGATAACTGTTATATTACAGATAACTCACCTAACATAAGCATGGCGGTAACAATCATGTTTGTAAGAAAAGCATAACCACAGAATGTCAGATGAGCTTTGGTTCCAAATCTTGCTTTGATGAGCTGCAGAAATGTCTTTGCTCCTGGAGCTCGAATCTTCAACTGCACTGACAGCATAGCAAATAATAAGATCTGTACTGTTGCTCCAGAAGCGTACCAGAAGGGACCACTGATCCCATACTGTATACAAGAAGAATGTGTTTTAACTTATCATGTATAAGCAAAAATTAGATCACTGTACATTGTAATCTCCAAAAACAATTTGTTTTAAGCAAAGACATTTCAGTTTTCAGTATACATCAGAAAGTTACGAATGGTAAGCTGAAAAGGAATTAAAGAAAGTTTTGAATCCGTGAATCATTTGAAGTAGAAGAGGTGAAAGTTATTTTTAGAATTATTAATAGACCCCCAGTGTGACAGCGGTATGTCTGCGGACTTACAACGCTAGAAACCGGGTTTCGATACCCGTGGTGGACAGAGCATGGATATCCCATAGTGTAGCTCTGCGCTTAACTACAAACAAAACAAGAGTATTAATAGCCTTGATGGATATTATTAAATTTATAGTTATCTCTAATTATTTTTGCAAAGTATAACACTCCTGAGGATGACGCAATAGTATACGTGGAAACATGTAAAGTGCATGAGATTGTTTTCCAGTTTCATCGGGGTTTTTTACCACTTTTTAACCTTGTACACTAAGTTATTATTTTAGTAATTTTGAGACTGGAAACAATCTCATTTTTATTGAATTGTGTATCAAATAATTGTTGTTTTTAAAAAAAAATAGCATTTAAGATCTAACATAAGCTAAGTTAATTGGAGAATATTTAGGAATTTCTCCTTGCTACTCAATGTTCGTTTAAATGTAGTTGACTGAAAATTTATTTTTGGTGTTATAAGCATCAGCATACTTTTGAGATTAGGTGTTTTCGAGTTTAAGAATATACACAACCGGAACTAAATTTAGTAAAAAAAAAAAGGTCCTTTAAGTTTCGTTAAAAACAATCACTGTAACTTATGTACTGCTGAGGTTCAGTAATCTCAACCCAAAGTCGTGGTGAAATATTATAATCTCACACAAGAAGCTCTGAGCATGGATCACCTGCTTAATGAATATGATCCCTTTAATTATCGAACCTATAAGATGAAATATTTCCTGAATGGCAGTTTAAAGCCCCATATTATGGGAATTATATAGGTTAAATATAATGTGCCTTGTCAGTTTACTCCATGAACAACACATCTTTAATCATTATTTAAACGGGGTAATGTTCCTCTGAGGGTACTGCCAGATGTTTCATGACTACCTTCGGCTGTAGGTCCGCACTTAACGATGAAACAAAGTCGAAAACATCATCTACAAAAGGCAGAATCAATACATAAAAAATCTTTTAAAATGTTGCTACTCTTCAATAGTACTTCTATAAACATCTCTGTTTTAGATCTATTCTACAAGGCGTATTATCAACTATCTCAACTGTCTTCATAGTTAAATAAATACCTTATAGCACAGAAAAACAATATATCTTTAATTTATGTGCTGCCTCTAATACTACGTTACCCACAGGCTATAACATAACATACGTATTTGTCAGTAGTTGGAGTAATATTCCAGATACAGATTTTGAGTGCGAACTCATGTTTTTCAGATATTATTTTCCTTATTCACATATTGTCGTATAGATTGAAGTGCCAGTGACATCTAGAAGTAAGCATTTATATATATGTAACTGTTCATTTAAAAATAGTTGTTTGTATTTTTGGATCGAGTATGCTTTGATCATATAAAAAAACTAAATTCAAACTTCTGAAACCCAAAAAGTTGAAAAACACATAAATATTACTGTTTGTACGCCGAAAGCTGGCGAGATATTTGAAACGAATAGGCCTAATATTTGTCAACAAAATTACGTAAACTGTAATTTTTCATAATATTCTTTATTTATCTATTTAAGATTCCAAATCAAACTTGTGTAAAAATGGCATTATATATTGTCTTTTGTCTCTCAAAAGACACTGCCCAAGAGGCGTTTCGTTCAAACCATAACCCGTGAGTTATCCTGAACGATGAGATGTAAAACAATTTCTGAAAAGAATAGATCTGAAGTGTTATTTTACGAACACCTGATTTGAAATGCGATATAAACAAATTAAGAGAGTTGTGATTTTTATCGCAAATATTATATTTATTTGTTCTTGATCTTTTGCCAGCTTTCAGATGAAATATCATTTCAAAACAACAATTAGGTAGCATCGATTGTTGGACCTTAGAGGTGATTATAACTACTGACTGAAGTTATTCTGTTTACGAGTTTAACGTTTTTATCACTACTGTTCCAGATCGTATCTCCAGTTTATTACTCCTTCTGGATTATTACACTTTCAGGATTTATTCCTTTGTTTGTATTAAATATATTTTGGTTTGCCTTCTGTGTTGGATCGCTACGTTATGGGTGAGCTAAAGGGGTTGTCTCCCACTAGACACCGAGGTAAGCCCTATTCCTAACCCGGCAATTACCCAAAGTAATCCATGTCATCCAATGCTCCTACTATATCGACTACTACATTAGAAGTAAATCATCCTAAATTATTTGCTGCTGTCTCTAATAAAACTGTTATATTGCCCACCTACGCCGAAGTTACATCTGAAGCATCGCTTCTCGTTCCTCTTTCTGTTATAGCAGTGTCGAACACTTCAGTTTCAGACATTATTTTCTATGCCTCATTCAGACGGTACACTTTTGACATCGGCTCCTATAGATACCAATTCTGTACCACATTTATCGGTGTTTTTATTATCTCAAATGGACTCTAAATTCAATATCATTTATAAAACACTTTTTTAGAAACCTATAAATGTTGTCTCCAAGCTGACATCAACCACTTTATATCAACTCGTAATTGACTGATCATTAAGGCCTATAATTCTCAACTGTTTGACATCCATTGAATTCAAATGGGTATCAAAAATATATGCCCTAACACTACCACCCAGAAGGTTGGATCCCCTACATTTAAACAAGATCCTTCACCTTCTTGAATTTCACTGTTTTAATTTCTCATTTGGAGAGTATGTCCAACCATTTCTGAAAAATAAATAATTTCAGAACTACTTGAAGACAAGATATCGATACAGTGAGCATTACATATTTCATGATTCGCGTTCTAACAGAAATCAGTGATGTAACTGATCACCTTTGTGTAAGTGGTGCTTTTATCTTTAAACAACGATATAGAGTAGAAGCTTCTAGGACACCTCAACCCAGTCCTTTGTACTATGGAAAATGCTTGTGCTAAAAGACTTATCCAACAGCAAAGTGCCCTAATAAGCCAGTCTATCCATAAGACAGACAGAGTACTAACTTAGACTCATGGACTCACTCCCCCCTCCACACACACTTGTAACACCTGGCAGCTAGACCATCCTACAAATACCGAAGAAAACAAACTGGATGATCCTGTTACATCTTCTTCAAACTCCTTCTCTCAACTTCCAACCATAGCGAACATTCTCTGATTTATTATTATTACTCTAAAAATATTCACTCATTCCAAAGAGCCTTTGTCCTGGGCAGCATCAACTACGCAGTTAACTCTGCCTTTAAACTGAATATGTACGCCTATTGTAAATTCAACACACAGTTATATTTCCGCCATTTATGGTATCCAAAGGGTAATGATACATCGAGACTTCTTGTTAAACTTTTTCTTCGTTGGTATTTGCTACTTCCTAATAAACAACTTTCTTTTAAAAACTGTACTACATGAAGAATCCTATGATTGAAATGTCCAAAACAAAACTTTTCTCAAACCGACATGAGATGCAAAATTATATGGTTACAATTGCCATCGTTGTGACTACCTTTAAGGTACTGACATAGCTGGCTTAGCATTCTGTAATTCGTGCTCATCTACCCATCCGGATTCATTTTATTCCCGTATCACCTTTCCTGAACACCATATTCTTAACGAATTCAGAATAATCAAACTTGCTACCATATATATATTTATTATTTCTGGGGATCACCTATCTCACGAATTCTACTACTTGTATAGAAATTTTAAAAGTTATATTTTCTTTGTTGAACTCAACTATCATACAGTATTTCATCAAAAATTACCGATTTTAATATACTTTGAGTTATATAGTTGGGTATATTTTGCTTCAATTTTCTCCAAGTTGTCCAAATTCAAACTCTTCACCATATATTGTTATAGCTTCAATCAATCTATTTTTTCCTCTCCCTCAGCATGTTTGATACGGTAGCGATCACCACCTTTCCATACAAGTTCAACTACCGACCAGGGTAAACTATCACCATCCCGACACAAATAGGATCTTTTTTAAAGTACCGTAATGCTAAAAACTGTCTTCAATAAATGACTACGCTTATATAATAAGAAAAGCATTTTACTCACTGTTTCTATAATATTAATTTCAAACCTTAGCTTACGAAAGAATAATAAGGTTTCTTAAATTTGAAGGCTCTGTTCATCATTGGCCCTTGCGTAAAATCGTAAACCAATCGAAATGGGAAAACATCACATTTTTTTTAGGGAATATTCAAGTACCTTTGATTAGCATGTTCCTTCACTAATGTTAACAATTGTCTTTTAGTAGAACCGATATAGTTTTGCTATCATCTCTATCTTGCTCTACTGAGGTTCCTTCTTTTGTTTACAACATTTTATACCTCTTTCTTTTCTTCTTTCTGGATTTTACCCTGATTCCTTAAAAATTCTATTTTTACTATTCTTAAAAACTATTAAACCTCCAACAAATATTGGTTGCTATGGGCCAATCAGTCTTACCAGTATCCTCAGTGAAACCTTCGAAAGCATTTTAGTTCAATGAATCCATAGTTTTATTAAATTTGTTGCTGATCAACAACTCTTGCCACCTACCCAGGTTGGATTTCTTTCAGTTATTGACACTATATAAACTTCTCATGTTATCGGATTTTCCCTCCAATCATTTTAACTCTAACAAGTCCTGTTAGATCTTTTTTTTAGTTTGAACGAGCTTTCGGCTCAGTCTGGCACCTTGGTTTAATCTTCAAACTACGAAACTTAACACTACCACTGACCTAAATTCGAATAATCAACTCATTTCTTTATTGAAGATACGCAGCTATTTCTCTTAAGAGAACTCTCTCAGTCTTTCAATATTTCTGCTTGAGTTTCTCCTCTATAACCTCTTTAGTATGTTATTGATACACCTAAACCAAATATTTTAAATATTAAATATCCTAGCATTGCAAAGGAATTCTTTGATAGAAACACTTTTTCTCCTATTCTTTGTATATATAGAAATTTCTCAACAAATAAGTTCAGCAACGTTTTCTTTCTCGAAATGTCATATATTTTCATATCCTCAGTCAGAATGTTTATTCTCAGAGGAAACTCTTGCCACCCGCTGATCATCTCTTAAATTCGCATGTTATGTCATTTCCAGTTGATGATACTAGTCATGTGGATATCCCAATGCCCAGTTTACCCAGTTATATCTATCCAAATAACCGAATGACTCTTTTTTTATCTTTCTCAGATAAATAAACTGCCAACTCATAGCATCATTTGATTGTTACATTTATACGTCATTCCTTCATCAGTTTCATCACCTCTCTTGGTTCAAGAGAGGACGTAACAGTCTGATGGCCAAACAGCTCCTCTGGCTGAAATAAAATGATAAGAAAAAAACTTCTTTCATCGTCCAGTCCAACTGGCGAAATCTGATACTTGATGAAAGGTTTTCCGGGCAATGACTTGTTGGAGATAAAAGATACATCTCAAAAGTTATTTATGCATATTTCCGGTTTGGAATCAATCATAGACAAATTAAATGCAATGAGCAATTAAACAGCTGTAGTTAACGTGATTTCTATCACAAATGTTAGAAACAGATAAAGATTCTCAAAGTTTTATGAAGGTAAGTCTTTTGTTTATTTTAGTACAAAGCTATACAATGGGCTATCTATGCTCTGTTCGCCTCATGGATGCTGTGATAGACTATACCTCATTCAAAATAATCCAAAACAGATTAAAACACGTCAAAGCATGCGCTGTTATATAAGTAACTCCTCACCAAAGTCATAAATTAAATTTTTCCTAATTTTCTGAGATATAAGAATTATTCACGCCCCCGTAGTTTCATATAACCGATGACTGAACAGAATCAGTTATATTTGGGTATGACATAATGTAACGTGATTAGCTCACTTGCCACGGACGATGTCTGTAATAGTAAGCTATTTCTATGGAGCAGAACATAAGACTACATGGTTACCTTGCTTGCCACGGCCGATGACTGTAACAGAGTTGCTGCCCAGGTCCACTGAGACACTATTGTTGTAGCTGTCAACCCGACGGACACTTTCCCACCTGCGTCAAACGCTGTGTCTAGATTGTCCTGGTTAAACGAGAAATATTATTGTAAAAAGTTTCATTTTAAGCTAATCATTTTGCTTCAGTTATTAAGCATGAAATGTTCAAATAGACTAGAATTCTGCTTATTGTTAAGCGCAAAACTACAAAATAGGCTATCCGTGTTGTGCCCACCACTAGTATTGAAACCTGGTTTTAGCGTTATAAGTCTTCAGAATTACCGCTAACCCACTGGGTAAGCTGTACTACAAGCGAATAAAATATCTATGTAGCTCAAAAGTAGCCTAATAATTGGTGATTATAATATTGGTCATTTATATATGTTTTACTTTTAATTATCAAATGTTAATGAAATGTAACTGGACTTTGTCCGCTTTTAGATTTGTTTGTTTATTTTGTTTTTAATTTTGCACAAAGCTATTTGAGGGCCATCTGAGCCAACCGTCGCTAATTTAGCATTGATAGACTAGAAGAAAGGCACAGCTAGTCAACACCATGCACCACCAACTCTTGAACTAATCTTTACCAAGAAATAGTGGGATTGGCCGTCACATAATAACTCCCTCACGGCTGAAAGGACGAGCATGTTCAGGGACGGTGTTCGAGCTCGCGACTTTCAGATTGTTCTAACCACCAGGCCATGCCAGGCCTCACTTTTACAAATAAAGGAAGCTGGTTATTTCTTAATAATTCTATTCACCAGACTTTTATTATAAGAAGACACAGGAGTAGCTACAACAACATTTAGTTCTTGTTTAACGATTCTACTTATCAGGCTTTCAGTTCAAGAAGGCATCTAATTGGTTATAAGAAAAGTTAGTTTTTTTTTGTTATTACTAAAGCGTTTAGCACAAGGAAACACCTAACTGGTTATAAGAAATTTTTATCCTAGCTTAACGTCTTTCTCTATTCTTTAGAATTTAGTGAAAGGATACATCGAGCCAATAGCATATATATATATATAAGTGGGGCAACAGAGCTAGCTAACACAGGGGTCAGAGTACCACCTGTCTCAGTTCAGTTCCAACTCATAAGGGCCCACTTGTACGATATACAAAATTAACACATTTAAGACCCAGAAGCGAGCCTGATACACAATTGCAACTCGTGAAAGCCCAATCTGTGAACAGGTCTAACACGGAAATCATTGAGGATACCTACGAGTCAATAAGTAGAATATTCCATACTCTTAGCACACGCACACATGTGGTAATATTAGACGAAATAATATCAAACAAGGTTTTACTATAGTTGTTTGTCTCCCGGAGGGACAGCGGTAAGTTTGCAAACTCAAAGCGTTAAAACTTGAGGCTCGATTCCCCACGGTGAACTCAGTAGCTAACCCAATGTGGCTTTACTTCAAGACAAACAAACAAATTTTACTTATGTTATAATTTGAGTGTCTTCCTTTATTTTTGTAACATTAGTAGTGTTGGGCTGTTGGCAGTAGGAAGAGCAAAATATTCTTGCTACTGGAGCTTCATAGGCCAAAGTAAGTCACTGCATTGATCTGGTTTCAAGAAAGTTTGGTTCTTGTTTACATGTTATTTTGTTCACAAGATGTTTAGTGCAAGAAGACGAAGAACAAATATTGTGAGGAGAACATAAGAAAAAAAATATAGTTATTTATATAGAAGAATTAACAAGCAGAAATTTTATAATTAATATCGAATAATATTGACGGGTCAGAAATATTTACACAATATGTATCTTGAAATTGATATTGGCACTTCCATTTCCCTTAACTTGAAAGTCATCTTGAACTTATTAAACTTAAAATCTTTATGTAGTTTCCACAAGGGCTATCTGACCAATGCCGTCACTAATTTTGAACTTATAGTCTAAAGGGAAGGTTTATTAATAGCAGCCACCAGTTCTTGGACTACTCTTGTCTGACCAAAAAGTGTAAATTGACCTTCATTTTTATAGCGCATTCATGGTCCCAAAGCGTGGAGCGCATTTTGCGGCAACGAGACGCAAGCCATTAACTCTTGATATTACAGTCTATATCATACATCATCTACAAGCCTATCTTCATGAGTTGATTGATGCACTTATACGTCCACCACCAACTCTAAGACTAATCTTTACCAACATTGGTTGACCTAAAACAATTAAAGTCGCGAAATACAACTTCATCGAAAAATATATTTTTGTTTACAATATATTTATTACTAGCGAAAGTACCCGGTTTGCTCGGATTATTAGGTTGATATATTATAAATGACTACGTCAGTGTGTTTATTCTGAACCTATTTTCGTATAGAAGAACAGTCAAAAATATTTTAAGCATTTTTATTTCCTAGAAACATAAAAACATGTCTTTTCTATGTGGTTCTTCGCTAGCTTGCCTCATTAAAAAGATGCGTGCACGCACTTGGATAATATGAGTAATAATACCCAGGTGCACACCCCCAGGGTCCACCTAGTGTAGGTGCAACATTTCAGGTTTCTAGGTTCTTTCCTCTTGGAACTGTGGTGGTCACACATACACAAACATGCATGTGAGCACGCACACATGTGCGTGTCTGCTTGTGATTTCTGTTTGTAATATAAGGAACTATTTCTTTTTATGTGGTTTTTTGCTACCTTGCCTCATTAAAAAGATGCGCATGCGCGCACACACGTGCACATATCCTTTATATGTGGTTTTTCGCATAAAAAGATGCGCACGCACGTAGATAAGTAATAATACCCATGTACAAACCTTCACGTGCGCCCGCGTGCGTGTCTGTCTGTCTGCGATTTCTATTTGTAATATAAAGAACTACTTCTTTTCTATTTGGTTTTTCGCTAGCTTGGTGTTATGTGGTGGAAACTGAGATAGTCTGAATTACTTGATCTGTAGAGAGGACCAAAGTTTGATATGAAGTCTGACTTGGTGCGTGCAGGAAAGGACTGACATATTGTGAGGATAAAGCGATTTGCCGTTATTCAAGAAAAATAGCTGTGTACATCTTCAGTTTAGGGTGGCTTTTTAGAGGGAGAAGAGATACTTGGCGTGGGGTGAATAAGGGTTGAAAAGAGTTACTCGACATGGAGTGAATACAGGTTGAGAAACTGCAGGAAGTTTAAAGTAATTTACTTGTAAACTATGCTCGGGGCTAACACGTTTACGTCGAAAGCTACAAAGTGAATGCTATAAGGAAGAATACTGGTTCATTTTTTGTTTATTGTTTTAATTTCCCTGGGGTTTTACAGAAAATATTCTTTTAAATAACGTAACCTTCTGAAAAAAATTAAAGTATCAAAATATATCATATCTCCTTTTGCTTTTGTTTCATATTACTTATATTTCTACATGAGTAATATCGAAATTGATTTATTTCATAAAATTATAATTAATAAAAACCTATATGACTTATAGGCTTTTATGTATGATAAAACAAGTGTCAGCTAAAGAATAACTTCCAACACGTCATTCTCAATTCAGCCAATTGAGAAGACCCAACAAGAAGAATGCATTTACTCAAATACAGTTTATTTCTGGTAGATACTATTGCCGATGAAGCGTTTCGGTCAAAACCATAAATAGTCAGTTTGGCTGGGTCTCAACATCGAATGTTTTATTCGAAATATCATTTTCAAATAGCCTTATTCTATATGATGTGTAAGGTAAAGGTTTGTACATTGGTACTACGAAACAGGAAATTTGTGAATTTTAAAGCTTTTATTTCTAAAAAAAGCAAAATTTTGAAATAAACTTGCAATTTTATACGAAATAACTTTATCGAAAAACATTTCTATCAGATTTTAAGATTCCGTATTCGCTGTCATTAACATACTGTAAAAACCCAGTTAGACGATTAAAAAACACTTCAAAATCGTACATTTGTTTATTTGTTGTTAAGCGCCAAGCTACACAATGAGGTGTCTATTTTCTGCCAATCACGAGTATCGAAACCCTATTTTTGCATTATGAGCCCTCAGAATTAACGTTGTGCCACTCGAAGAGTATTACGCAAATAAGTTAGAATTGATGAATTGAAATAATATTCGTAACTAACATAAAGCAAATAAGTGATAAGTGTACAAATAAATCTCTTTACAGAAAATGTTTCGTTTTTATTATACATTTTTGTATAAGTAATTGACGTCAACGTATGTGTTTTTTGACGAATAAAATGGACTTTGCTCATAATTAAAATAAAAATAATTCGAACATCTAAAGAATGCTACAAGTAAAAATTACCTTAATAACTCCCAAGACAGTATCATAGCTATTGAACTAAAAGGCAGTGACTTTTATGCTTATTGCTGAGAAATGATCAAAACTCATCTAATGTCATTTTTCATTCAACATTTCTTGGGAAAATTTCTGGCGTAACAGTAACACTTGTGGAACACTAATGTCATAACAACAATCACTAAAACCCTTGTGGAAACTGCTGGTACAATCGAAATTACAACACTTGCGGAAACTCGTGGTAAAATAGTAATCACTAAAATCCTTATAAACAATACTAGTACAATAGCAATCACAACAACACTTGTGGAAACTAGTGGTAAAATAGTAATCACTAAAACCTTGATGGTACAATACAAATTACAACAACTCCTGTGGAAACTTTTGGTAAAATAATAGTCACTAAATCCCTTGTAGAAACTGTTGTTACACAAAGCAATTGCAAATACCTTATTCATCTTTATTTTTCCGTCTCCTTCTGGGTTAAAATAATATATGCTATTTTATAGCATTATACGATTATAAATTGTTAACATGATGTTTAGCAAACATCTTCAATTATTCATAATCGCAGTTCCAAGTCTTTTTCTCTGTAAAACATAAAGAACACTAAAATATATATTTTGTATGCTTTAGGAAGTTTCGGGAAATTATGAAGAATTGCTTCAAATTTGTAAGTTTACAAATAAAGATAAATTTTGTTAAACAAGACCGATGTCTGTAGGTTTACTTTCTTCTTAGAATTCTTCTCAAGAAGTCGATAAGCCGTCTTAACGTTGTTAGAACAACGGGTAAAAGTTGTAGCTAGTGATGAGTTGTCGACGCGTTTCGAATGCATTCTGCATCCATTATCAAGGCTGAATGTTGTGTGAATTGTGATTACTGTTGGTGGATATTTATAGGTATGGGTAAGAATTAAATATTATTGTTTGTTTCAGGGCAGCTA